TGCCCCAAATAGTGCCAAGGTGCAGAAGGCCAGCACAAGGAAGAAGTGACCAACATCAGTCCTTGTGCTCTGTCCCCAGTTAAGCACCAGTATCCGGCTAGGACCGTCTCCACTTGATACAAAGTGCATCAGCAATCAAACTATCTTCCTTTCCTGCCCACTTCCTGGGGCAGGTCACGTGCTCCACGTATCCACTCCTTAGCTCCTCTCAGCCCTCCTCCTCCTCCAAACCATCACCTCCGTTTAGGTCAAGGGCCTGAGGCTCCGAGAGAGGCCACTCGCTTGGGGTTGAAACTCAGATTTCACAGGGTTCCCAGTTTTTTCTCTTCACCTGCCCCCCATACCGTGCTGCTGCTCTCAGCTGGGAGGGCCCCTCCGGGCTGTTTTCTGGGAACTGCCTGCCGGGACTTCCCCCTAGCCGGGGAAACCGCAGGCGGCGGGGGGACCCTGGGTGAGCGGGTGGGCTGGGGATCCAGCTCCCCGTTTCACTCACTCCACCCTGGCCCCCTCTGGAGCCAGCCAGCAAAAGTCTCTCTCCGGGTGGCAAGTGCTAAATCAGCCTCTCAGATCAGCCTCTTGGCACCCAAGCTGACCGCCCCCAGGCAGGCGACATCCCCAGGAAGCTCAGGCCACCTAGGTTTTAGGACCCAGCCAGGAACCTACTCACAATAGCATGGGCTTCTGTTTAAAAACAGTGACTGAGCGGAAACAAGGTTACCGCCTGGGGCCAGATCTCTTTCCGGAGGAGGAGGAGGGGGCGCACTGGACAGAAACCGGGCTTTCAAGCTCTTAGGCGGGAGAGGAGGTGAAGGGAAAAGGCCCCTGGTGGGGAGGGCGGTGGCCTCCTGCCGCGCTGCACTTCTGCTTTGTCGGGCCTGAGCCAGCAGGACAGGATGCGCACTTGAAGGATGTGGCTTCATTAGCAAAGCTCTCTGAGCCAGAGGGCAGCCGCTGTTCCTCACCTCGGCTGGAAGGCTTACTCAGAAAACAGCAACTCTGTCCCAACACCAGTGGGGAGCTGGGAACAAATTCATCAAGATGCCAAGTGTACATTTGCTTATGTGCACTTTTGTCTTCCAGAAACACAAGGTGGACGCAGAAATGTGCACACAGCTGAACCAGGGCGGCCAAGAGTGCCCAAAGCGCGGCCAACACCGCCTGCCACTGAGTTGCACCCGCCCCACAGTGGGCCCGGCTTCCCACCTGACCTCAGGCACCCCCCCTTCCTGCCCTGCCCCCCGACGCCCACCGCTGCATGACCCCTGCGGGTCTTTCCCATCCTGCAGCGCCATGTTTATTGTTGTTCCTTTTTTGTATTTCTTATCTGCAAAACTTGTTTAAAACCATGCAGCTGGTGTTATAGGTTCTCTTTTAAAAACATGCTCCTGGTGAAGTTTCTGAGTGTCGCGTCCTTAGTCCTGTTTCTAACAAGGCCTCTCTGGTTTTTATTGCGTGATCGTGCTCAAGACTGACAGGGACACAGATGGCAGTGACTGTAGTATGTAAAGGGCTGACTAAGCACAGCGCCTATAGCACATGATAAGCACTGAGTCAATTTCACCTTGTTAATAGTAAAAAGGAGAGGGAGCGAGAGAGATGACCTAAACATCTAATAAGATTAAGATAGAGGGGCGCTGAGCCATTCCAGAAGGCGTGTGTGAAGCCTTTAGAATGATGCAGGAGGAGGTGTGGGATTGAAGGACGGCATAAAGCACCCTAAGCAACTATGATTACAACCCTGCATTAACATTTTTTTCACCACGAAAATCCATACAGTCTGGAAGGAAATAGATCAACGTGTCAGCAGCAATGGACGGGACTTAGGGGCGTTGTTTACTTTTTAATTTAAAAAACGTTTTCATCTACTCTCAACTTTGCAAACTCACAAACCTTTTAAAAGCTTAAAGACAACATAAAATCAATATCCAAGCAGCATTTTCAAGACGCAGAAGAATCACGTTGGCCTGCTAACCCACCGACATGTAGGCTGGGCCTAAGCGGGGCCCTGCCCCTGTTCCCCACCCAACCACCGTGACTGGACAGCGATGCCCAAAGTCAGCTTTTTTCCCCCTCAACAAAGCATCAAACACTGCCTCTCCTTCCTATCTTGTCCTCAGAATAAAGATGGTTTTTAAGCACAAGAATTTTGAAACCACGTAGCTTGTGACCTTTACTTTGTATCTCGTAATGAACTAGAAAGGGCTTTCTTTTGAAACTAATTTGCAACTGTGTGAAGATTAGGTAAGACTGAGTTTGACTGCTCAGAAATCAATCCTACCCTCTTCCCTCTTCCCCTGAGGCGACTGATGGCTTATCAGGGAGCAGGGGAAGAACGGCCGTGGGTCCTCGGGCTGCTACCGTTTGGGCTCGGAGCCTGGGCAGGGCTCTCATCAAATCCGTCACCCGAGCCCTCTCCTGACCTTGCGACCGACAAATTGGGAAAGTCCTCAGGGAAGCGGTCACCACCTAGACCGCCAGGATCTGCCAGTTCTGGGACAGGGAGAGAAACGGCGCTGGCCGTACTCGGCCCCCTCACAGCCAGCTGGTTCCCAGGCGCCATGTCAGGATGCAAGTCCTGTTCGCGGCCAGAAAGCCGACCCTCTGCCCAGTGCGTGCCGGCGGCCCTACCGGGAAACAGTGAAGGGCGGAGGAGTCCCAGCCCCCAGTTTACCTTGGTACAACCACATCTGCTTCAGCTTCAACTCTAAGGGGGCTCGGTCAGCCGCCCTTTTCCAGGGTCGGAGGCCAGAGGGGCAGGGACCTCTGATCCAGGATGGGGTTTCCTCAGCTGGCTACTAAGGGGGGCGTTCACCTGAAGCCCAGAGCCTTGGGTTCCAGTCCTGTCCTTTCCCTGGACCCAATACCCCCGCACGTCACACAAGGCTGCATTAGGTCAGAGGGTCAAACCCTAAGGTCAGGCAGGTTAATGGAATCAGCTGGCCAGGTGTATCATCCGTCACAGCTCTCTTGGTCTTAATCATGAGCCAATCATGGGTTTGCAGGTGGAGGGGAGGGGACCTTGGTGCAGTCAGGTCACAGCTTTGAGAACTAGACTCACTTTAGAAAGGGGTCAGGAACAGACAAAAGAACTTGTGAATCAGATGAGCTTCTTTGTATGAAACTTCCAGAGTAGCAGGGGAGTTTTACAGAGCAGGAAATGACAACTGAAACTGACCAGGGGGAAATCTTATGGGCATAAAGGCAAAGTTCTGCATTTAGGTTTGAAAGAGAATGGAGCCACATATGAACCCAAGATACACGGGTGGGTGGGGTGGAGGGAGGGGGCAGGGAGGGACAAGGACAAGACTGCAATTGAAAGCCATCCCCCAACAGAGAAAAACCATCCTTGACAGCCAACGTCTGCACGAAAAACGTAAGTTAGCCTTCTGGAGAAAGTCAAGGGTGCGCTGGGCTGATCAAGGGTCCGGCCGCCCTGGTGGTGATCAGGGCACATTGGAAGCACAGGCTCTCTCCTGGAAAGGGGAGGACAATGGCAGGGTGTCCAGGCGGAGCCACAAGGCTCAGGACAGTCTCCTGGTGCAACTAGGAAGAAGATGCAGCTCTGGAAGGGTAAAGAAAAGATGTGTCTATAGAGACGGTGCCCACGGCCCTCCGAGACGTGCGGAACCCTCAGGCAGAGAAGGGCAGAGAGCAGCAGGGCAGCTGGAGAGCCAAGAGCCATGAGCCTCGAGCGACGTGTCACAAGCCACGGGCCACAAGCGAGAGGGACCACACAGAGGCCCGCCTCCACCCACAGAACCTTTGCTCCAGTGGGGGTTCCACCCTGCAGCAGGAAGTGCCAGCTCACAGGGGAGACAGGAAGGTAACAAACCAGGCACCCAGATGGGCCTAGATGGCCTCAAAATCGCCTCGAGACCAGTGCGTGTCAAACTCTGATGTGCTTAGCTATCACCTGGGGATCTAGCTAAAAGAGGAATTTAGGAGGTCTAGCCAGGGTGGGGCCTGCAGCTCTGCATTTCTGCCGCTCCCAGGTGATGCTAACACTGCTCATCCGGGCCTGGGGTAACTAGACTCTAGATCACTTCCAGAGCAAGCAGAGCAAGTCCTGAGCGGGAAACGGGGGGTGGGCAGAGAAGGTCCAGCCTCCTAAAAGGGAAACCCTGGAGTAGGAGTGGTCTCCAGGCCCCAGGAGCCCCAAAGAGGATGACGGAGGAAGGAGGTGCCCTCCTGGAGGGTTCTCGCCAGGGTTTCCTGGAGTAAAGGAGACCAAGGAGAGGGTGGAGTCAAGCCTGAGGTGTTTAGGTCCCCAATACAAATCGGCCACTTGGAATTGGTTCACGGCAGTAGGAACCAGGCAATGTCCTGCTGCAGACACATCTAGAATTAATTAGCTCTGCCCTGCGTCCCTCCGGGGGAAAGGTGGCTTCAGGCTAGGAGACTCCCCAGCTGTGTGACTCATGTACAGGGTCAAACGTGATCTCCCCGCAGGGCAGCCCTTCCCCCTCCACTCAGCCCGCCTTTCCAAACCTAAGCTCTCACTCTAGACCGCATCCCGCCTCCCCGACTTTCCCTGTCTCTGGATCCCCTTCAGGTGTGTGTCCAACTCCACGGGTCCTAACCCTTCCAGGCGCAGCCGAGTCTCTCTGCTCCATCGCCTCGACATTCTCATAGCATGTGCGTGGGCGCTCTCTAAAAAGTCGGCCTGGTATCACAGTTTTAGGGCGGATGCCCGGGGTGGCCCTCTCGGATGCTAAGATCCTATACGCGCCCCTTTGTCTCCCCCTGCGGCGCCGAGGGCAGTGTCAGACGCACAGGAAGTGCCCAGCAACTGGGCTGGGGGGCAGAAGCCGTGTCCAGAGGCGGCGTCAAGCGCGCAGAGACTCAACCCGGCTGAGAGAGGGTCTCTCCAAGGAGCAAGGGTCACCTGGAGAGGCGCCCCGAACCCCGATAGGGCCGGGCAGCCCCTCTGCGCCCTCCCGAGCCGTGGCCGGGGCTGACCGGAGCCCGCGCCCCGAGCCATCCACCGTCAGCGCCCTCACCTTGTAAACCTTGCCGAAGGCGCCGTCCCCTAGCTCGCCCACGATCTCCCACACTTCGTTAGGGTCCAGGTCCCGGCGGACGTGCTCATATTCGCGGGACTTTCTCTTCTCGAAGGTAGACAGACGCAGGATGCGGCGGAAATTGGCGAAAGCCATGGCTGGGGACGCGCGAGCCAGGGGGCGAGGTGGCGCCGGCTCCCGCTCCGGCTGTGGCTTCGGCGCCCGCGAGGAGGAGGGGCTGGAGGACGCCGCGGCGCTCGGGGGTTCTCCCCACACCCGCCCTTCCCCGCAGCCGGCTCCCGATCAAGTGCGCCCCGGGCTGCGCGCGGCGGGAGCACCCGGAACCGCTCCTGCGGTGGAGGACCCCGCCCCCGTTCGGTCCTGTCCCCGGGGACTCCTCCCGCGTGCCGGCCCCTCTCGCGCCGAAGGCCACGCCCTGCCTGGGAGCCCCGGGACGCGGTCTGGACACAGCCCGCGGCCGCCCACCGGCCCGGCTCCACCTGCAGCTCCCCGGCAGCGCCCGCAGACCCCCTAATTGGCTGCGGGCGTTCCCGGGCTCCGCCCATCGCCGCAGGGCACTCTGGAAACTGTAGTCCGCCGCGAGCCCGCGAGCTCAGGGCTGGGCTTTGGAGAGTTCTGGGGACCCCTCGGCGAGACAGTCCTGGCTCTGGGAGGCCCGCCGCGCCTCGTGGCTCCCAAAACTTCTAAAAGAACGAGAGGGGAAATGAAGTGGCTTTTCGCCAGCGCGCAGTGACTGATTGTTGTCCGAGTGCCAAGGTGAACCGGTATAAGGCTTGAATTCGTCCCGCAACTCCCCCTCGAGGCTGGTCGGCTCGCGCCCACTTTTCAGGTGGGGATGCCCCGCGGGCGAGGGCACCAGCCTCGGGAGGCACATCCTGCCGGCGGATCCGGTGCGAGTTCCTCGGCGCGGTGCTGCCTCCTACTGCGCGAAATGCTGCTCCCCTGCGGCCGCGGTCGGTCCCTGGAGGCCCCGGCTCGCCGGGTCGTTTCCTGCTTCCCAGGAACTCCCGTATCCTGATCCGGCGACGGCCAGTATCACAGGGCTAGGAGAAAGAGCTCCTTTGGGACTTCCTTATCACAGGCTTCATGAGGGATCTTCAGATACGTTTGCATATTAAATTAAAAGCTTCTGACTCTTAATTTCCCACTTTAAATAAAATGAGCTCATTACAGATAAAACGAAAATCATCTTTGACCACGATCACCTCGATCCTGGTCGTTTGACTCGGTTCGCTCAGTATAGAGATCTTTAAGCGGTGAGCCTCATATTGGGCCCCCCACTTTTTCTGGACCACTGGCTTTCTTTTTCCTCCAAGCCTCCAAAAAAAACCAGTTAACCCTCTAGGTTCCCGCCTGATTCCTTCTTCAGCTCTTCAGGGCTGCAATGACTCTATCCCTAAAACGGTTAGTTGTTAGGAAGGCTATCCACACAACACAGCCCACCGTATTACTAAACTCAGAACTGCTTTGAAACAGTTGATACGACATGGAAATTATTTATTCCTTAATGGTTTTGAGAAACCTCCTCATAAAACCCATCTGGGCCAGATATCTTTTCTCCAATTACTTTCTGGTTAATGGTGATGATTATTGGTTGATCCACATCTTCAACTCCTTAAGTCAGTTTTCCTAAAATAAGTACTCTATGTATCTAAGTCTGTACTGTCCAATATGCTAGCCACTTGCTGGATGTGGCTGTTAAGCACTCAAAATATAACTAGCCCAAACAGAGATGTGCTGCTCAAAGTATAAAATATGCTGGGTTTCAGAGTTAGTATTAAAGAGGATTGTATGGTTTCACTTATATGTGAAATCTAAAAAACAAAAACAAAATACTGAACTCAGAGAGGAGACTGGTTTCCAGGGGTGAGGAAATGGTTGTAGGGGACCACAGGGCAACTTCCAGTTATAAGATCAGTCAATACTGGGCATCTCATGCACAGCATGGTGCCTATGCTTAACAATACTGTTAAGTTATACAATACTGTATTGTATATTTCAGAGTTGTTAAAAGAATAGACCTTAAAAGTTCTCACCACAAATTGTAACTATATGAAGTGATGGATGTGTTAACTAACCTTATTGTGGTAACTGGTTCACAATACATACCTATGTCAAATTATTACATTGTCCAACTTAAACTTACACAATGTTATATGTTGATTAGATCTCAAACTGAAAGGATTGGAAAAGGACTTTTACAATATATTTACAAATTGAAGTCTTTTGGATACGCTGGATTAAATGTTATCAAAACTAACTTTTTAATGTAGCTACTAGAAAATTTGAAATTACATGTGTGATATATTTGTGGCTTGCGTTGTGTATTTATTGGATAGAGCTAACTTAAAATTTCAAATTACTGGTGTAGAGTTGTATATAGTTTTCTTATATGGATTATTTATTGATTGATTTTAGGAGGAGAAACATCGATCTGCTCTCCCACCCACTGATCAAATCCCGTCTGTGCCCTGACCAGGGACCAAACCTGAAACATTGGCATGTTGGGGCAACTCTCCAACCAACTAAACTACGCAGACCAGGCTGGATCTATATATTGTAACCACTTCCTTCTTGTGAGTTTCCTTCCTCATTCTGATTTTTCAAAATCTTTTTTTTCTCCTTATCACACTTGCCAAAAGCTTATCTGTTCTTACTGATCTTTTCCTAAAGCCAGCTTTTGTTCTCGACCTACTTACTAGTTTATAGAAAATAGAGAAGACAAAGGAACATGTTACCCATTAGAGATAAAAATCTGCAAAAATCAAGCGTTTTCCTTTACATGATAATCTGGATTCCCCAACAAATAAACTGCAAGAAAAAACTAGAAAGAAGGAACAAGATATTTATGGTTTCAATGTAATGCACAAATCTGATCTATTTGGGGTCCTGACTTGGATAATTCATCTATTAAAAATTTTAGGTGTATAAATGTCTAATCACTGTTCTACATCTAAAACTAATGTACTGTATGTCAACCACAATTTTAAAACAAATTTAAAAATTTCAAGAAACAATTAGGGAACTATGCATGCTGACTGGATACTTGGTAACATTAAGGAATGGCCATTGTTTATTTTTAGGTATAATAATATGTGGCCGTGTTTTTTTTTTAAAGGTACTCTTTTTGAAATACATATTCAAATTTTCACAGTTGTGAAGTCACATTCGAAATCTGCTTCAATCTAATACAATGATGGTGGCGGCGGGAGCGTGGAGCGCAGATGAAAGAAGACTGGCCCCGGGTTGGTGATTGTTGAAGCGGGAAGATCGCATGCAGGTTTATCACGCTAAACGACGTGAGGATGTTTGAAACTTCCCATTATAAAGAACGTGAAGGAAAGCAGGTCCTGATTATCCTGGCTTGGCCAAAAGTCCCCTACACTTTTCCCATTAAAGACATTTTTTTCACCAATAACTTTTATTGATTTGGATATTTTGAGTAACGCCAGCTATCTCCCGCTATTGGCTTCTAATGGGGAGAGGCCAGGGATGCTGCTAAACATCTTCCAACTCATAAGACAGCCCCACAGCAAAGAATTATTTGGCTAAAATGTCGATAGTGCCAAGAAGCTGCACAACCCACTTTTGACACATTCAATCAGTCACAGCACCTTCTCCATACACCGCACACATCTTTTTTTCATGTTTCGGTTGTGTTTTAACCTTTCTTGAAATAATAAAGCATAATACCCCCAAAAAGTGGTGTATCTTCTTCCGTCTTCAATATTAAAATGGCTGCACAAAAATTCACCAATTTTGATGAGCTCTTTTTTTAAATGTATGCTGGCTTGACAGTTGTTACAACACAATCTAGCGAAATAGTTTCCAATGAAGTTAAAAACAACTAAGTACTGCTAGAGCCGGCGAAAAAACTAAACAAACTTTTTGGCTAACCCAATACTAATCGAGTTGACTGTTCTGTTTTCTGGCTCATATGTTTGTTTTCATCTTTTAAAAATTCCTTCTCCATTTTGGCTTATTTTACTCATTCTAGGTTCTCTTCTCCCCTTTTTATTGAATTTATTGGGGTGACGCCGGTTAATAAAATTATCTGTTTCAGGTACACAACTCTACACCATCTGTTAGGTTTCTTTTATTTTTCATTTTGTTTTCTAATCAATGTACTTAGGCTATAAATACTCCTCTGGGAATCGTTGGCCCTGTAACATGTTTTCGTATGTGCACACTCCCTCATTCATTCCCAGTGATTTTGTTTAGAACTGGTTATATTTTAGTGACAGAGGAATAATCGAGGTAAGAGATTGCGGCAAGCCTGGAGAACTGGGAGGAAACCATTGTAATTTTTCAATTACACTCAACATGCAATATTGTATTAGTTTCAGGTGAACATGGTGGTTGTGGACATTTATATAACTTACGAAGTGATCCCAATAGTCGTCATTTTTTGTTGACTGTTTCCCCACCATGTTTTTGTCTAGACAGACCTCTTCTACCAGAGCTTCTCTGTATCGAACATTCTAGCTCCGAGGCCGAATTCCGTGTTCTCATTGAGGCTGCCAGAGCCTTTGGCTAAGGCAGCACCATGATGACGCTGAGGCACGGGTCGTTTCTGTGGTACCTCTACCTGGACAAGCTCTACTGCTTACTCTCTGTGAGGAACGTGAGGGCCTTGGTGGAGTACTTTCACCTCCTCGATGTGCACCGCAACAACACCCTGAATGGTCAGTATTTTCAGGAACGTCTCCTCTGGGTCACCACCTGGTTTTTACGTACTAACTTGGACTGGAGACTGGTGGCGGTCAGTGGGGAGGATAAAACTGCAGGCTCTGGGTTGAAGTCCTGGCTCTACCCCTCTACCCATCACTCCTTGGTGATCTGAAGAACATGTCATCCTCCTCCTTAGGTCTCTCTTTCCTCACCTGTAAATGACGGTTCTAATAATGGAGTCCATCATAGTTGAGGGGGAAAAAGGTAATCAGCCCTGACTGGTGTGGCTCAGTTGTTCGGGTGTTGTCCTGCAAAGCTGAAAGGCTGCTGGTTCGATTCCTGGTCAGGGTACCTGCCTGGGTCGCAGGCCCAGTCCCTGGTCAGGGCGTGTGCGAGGCAACTGATGGTTCCTTCTCCTTCTCCCTCCCCTCCCTGCTACAAATAAGTCTTTAAAAAATAGATAACGAGGCAATGTATGGAAAATGCTTAGCACACGGTAAGGACTTAGTGTTTATTATCATTAATTTTTCCTGGGGGCTGAGGCCCCCCTCCACAAAACTTCTCATCTCTCAAAGGAGGTTTGAATCAGGTGGTCTGAAAGGTCCCTTCTAATTCTCGGTATTTGTGAGTGTACAAAAAAGTACTGACAAAAAAGTACTTGACCCTGCCTTTGAATGCACAAACTAATAGAAGACCAGTTAAAATACTTGAGGGTTTTGTTTTGTTTTCTTTTGTTTTAGGACAGGGTATAAATAAGGTATCCTATCCATTCATTGTGACCTGAGATGAATGTCATTGGTGAATAAGGAGTTTCTCCCATAAAGATTTTTAAAAGTTCATTCAATCTTTAAAAAATAATAGAAGAACACATTCGTTTTCTCATGATTTCATGCCTCGGTTTTCCTCTTTACATATATATAGATTTACACATGGCGTGTCACCAAATCTTCGCCGTAACACAGTCCCAGGTCATGCAAGTGCAGGGCAACTAGCTGTAAAGAGAGGACCTGGGAGGGACACCTGTAGCTCTCGACTCGAGTCCACTCTCAGGCTCACCGGAATGTTTGCTGAGACGGGTCCGTCTCCCTGGTAATGCCCTCCCTCCCTGGTGATGCAATACCCTAGAGGGAGTCAGGCTCATGTCCCCTGGTCGCCAAGGGACTGGAAAGAGTGAATGCACAGGGGATGTAGCATGACTTCAGGCCTTGGAGACTGGAGGGGGCCGGAGTCGGCGGGTTTAAAAACAGTATTTGCTAAGTAGCTTCGAGTCCCACGGTAAAGCATCTCTCAAAAAGCATCTACACAAACGTCACTGTGTATATATGGGGTGTTTTTCCCACATGCTCATACCTGGCGGGGTGTAGAAGGAATATCAAGAGACCATCAGAAGCCCCCACCAGAAGTCACCATGACATTGTGACAAGTTCACTGTGCTCTTAGCCGGGACTCCAAACTACAGAGATTCTTTATGTTTAACGGGACCTATCGTATGCAGCGGAAAGCTTCTGTGACCAGTGGGCAAGGGGAAATCCCATGTAGACGAAGTAACGTGAAAATCCCTTAAGTTACCATGGGCAATTTGTGTACACTGTATAGCCACACACCACTGTATAAATGTATCACCATGTTTGTTTCTTTCATTTTATACGCCCTGAGACAGATGGTTGGTGAGTAGAATTTCAGCACAAACCTTCCCTGTTCCTGGCAGTATTTTCTTCTCTGATTGTACATGCCTCAACATGCTCTAATGTACAAAAGATATGACTCCTCCCCGGGAAGAGCAAGACAATGGAGTCACGGGGACCACACGGAGATCCCAACTCAGCCACCACGCGTGGTTAGCTGCAGAGCTGCAGCCGCTTCACCCGGGAGCTTGTTAGACATGCGGACTGGGCCCCACACCGGAATCCGCGAATCCGAGTGTGCATTTTAAAAGACCCTTGGGTGACCGTATGCTTACCACCGCTCAGGCAGCGCCGATGTGGACATCACTCTGCGAGGCTCATTGTAAAGGCAGTGCTGCCACCTTCCCCTGAGGGCTGTCAGGGTTCAGCGACAGGTGGGCTTTAGGGCTCAGCACCTCAGGTGTTCAGTAACAGCTGTTTCTGTCCCTCATGGCCAGACGCGTTCACTTTCACGTAAGCATGAGAAATATTGATACTTTTATAGAACAGAAATGATTTTTAAACCTCTCGTTTTATTTATCTCAAGTGAAAGGCCCAGGTGAAACGTCAGCTTCTCCAAGCAAGTGTCCTAAGTCGCCAGTGAGAATTAAGCTCCTCCTTTCTCCACGTACGAGGGGCGCTCTGCGCCTTTATTGGCTACCTACGCACAGCTGGCCGCGCCATCGAGTGTGTGGGCAGGGCCAGGAACCAAGTCCTCTCCACCCTCATTCTGCCCCCTTGGAGCGCAGAGCTTGTCCGCATGGCTTGAGCGCAGCCAAGGTTTGAGGAATTGTGGGAGGTAGAGTAGCAAAGCCAGAACACAAAGCGGCACCATTGCGTCTCCCAGATCACAAACTTCCAACATCAGTACCATTGACGCAGCTCCCAGTTCCTTAGCCTTTTGGAGCTGTTTCTGAATAATCTATCCCCTTGTTTCCCTCCTGTTAACAGATGTGCTGTTCTACCACTTTCTTCATCATGTGACTAACTGGAACCGGAGACAGATCATGCGTGTGTTTGACATGCTGGACTGGGATGCTACGGGCGAGATTGGTTTTGACCAGTTCTACATGCTGGTCTGCATACTGCTGGCAGAGCAGGCGAGTATCAAGCCAGGGTCTGGGGCAGAGGAGGCCGAGCTCGGCCGCTGCCACCACCTCACGAAAGGTAGCGCTGAATTAAGAGGACACCAGAAACGCTCTTCCTTTCACTCAAAACAGGAAGAACGTAAGGAAGAACTATTTCTGGTTCCCAAACAGTCCATCAATAACCTGAAAACTCCCAGCCCCTGGCCTGCCCGCCTTCGGCCCTCCACCCCACACCGCCTCTCCGGACAGACCCCGCGTCCCTCCTGGGCATGCGCTGCCCTGCCTGCTCCAGCTGCTGCTCCTCAGAATCACCGAGCGCCTCCCTCCTTCAATAGTCCCCGTTCTCAGAGAATTTTCTGGAGGGACGAAGGACGGAGATGAGCAAGGCCCTTCTCTGGGTTCCCACCTCACCTTGAACACACGTCTAGTGTGAATCTACCCTACCCACTCCCCGCTCCTTGAGGAAAGGCACCCACCCCTTCATTGCTTTGCCCCACCGCCGCCATGCTGCCCAGGCAGGCTTCTCCGAAAGGAAGGGAGCGCACCCTCGCGGCTGGAGCCCCTCTCCAGCACAACGCGTCGCGGCCTCAGTGCCCCTTGAAGGCGGATGCGGAAGCAGGACCTTGTGCACTGGCCACAGACCCTTTCAGCCCTGAGCATCTATGCGTTTGCCTTTAGCTCCCAAGGGAATGGAGGAGAGAACAGAGGAGGAATCTTGACACAGCAAGCTTAGAAAAGTGGTGCCAGCAACACTGTTTCTTGCCTTACCCACTTGTCTCCAAACAGAACCACCTGGAAGAGCAATTTCTCTTCCGCCACTCCCGGCCTGTGTTTGAGCTGCTCGACCTGGACGGGGAGCTGAGGATTGGTGCCGAGAACTTCCACATGTACAACTTCCTCTTCCACATTAAAGAACAGGAGCTCCGAGACTTCTATCATGACTTGGACATCACAGGTGACCGTGTAAGTGCTGATCCCTAAAGTGTGGCCTGGCAGCCTCTTTGTCCTAAGGTGGAGGACAACATCCCACTACCTGCAGAAGAGACAGGGGAGGAGGAGGGTGGGAGAGGGTGGGAAAGCCTGCTCGAGCACGACGTGGTGCTGGGATCAGAAACATCTGGGGATGCATAGGCCTGTGGAAACGAGAGGACTGAATGACGACATGCTCCATCACAGAATGTGGATGCCAAATTACAGACCCTTAGACAAGGACGTATGTTAATACGGTGGGAGACTGTTGGCGTAGGGCATACAGATTTAAGTAGGACGAAAAAATTCTATGATGGGAGCAACAGGAGCCAAATCCTGAGACAACGGTGGTGAAGACTGTGACTTCAGCCCAGTTAGAGAGGAAGTCCACGTGGGGGAAGTGAGTGGGAGCTAAGGTTGAGAAAGGTGGATCCCAAGATGTCAGCCCGAACCACTTGGACTTGATGTAATACAAGAACATGGCCCTTGGTTCCCTTACAGCCTATAATAGGCTCTCTGTTCCTGGCTCCGAGACTACAATTAGATGATAATTTTGTCCTAATTATTGAGCCTCTTTAGGTTTCCAAGTTTTTAAATGAGGAATGATTACAATCCTGGTGTCATCTGAAACAAAGTATCAAATCCTTCCTGAAATAATTTTTCTTTCTCCCCCCCAACAAAAGCGTCTTAATTACAAGGAATTTAAGCTGTTTACTATCTTCAGCATGGACAAATACCAAGAGAGGCAGAAAGCAGAGCTCGACAAAGAGAAGGAGAAAAAGGAAGAGGAAGAGAAGGCTCTGCTCAAGAAAAGGTCACACACAGTTCATGTGAACCCAGAAGATGGTCTTCTCAGAATATATGAATCTGAAAGTAGAGTATAAGTAATGACAACTGTTAATGTCTTTAAAAATAAAATTGAACACTGAAGTGGCTATCTGGACACTGACTTTGATATACGAAGGGTTCAAACGAGTGTTCCCCGAACAGCAGGTTCTTCCCTTTAAAAACCCACTGACCGCACACACGACTCTCAGCAATGTCACGGGAAGCAAGCGCGCTCTCTCTCTCTCTCTCTCTCTCTCTCTCTGTCCATCGACACGTCCCAATTCTGCTGCTGCTTTCCAGATCAGCCCTGTTCCTTAGGTCCCCGTGTGTCCAAATAATTGCCAGCACGTACTGGAGCTAAGCAGCTGAAAGAGGGTAATGCCTTCCCAACGTCAGTGACCAACAGTCCAGGGCTTTCAGAATCCTTCCTCTTCTCCCAGTCCTTCGGCTGAAACTACCTGGACCCAGACACTTCAAAATGGCCGAGGAGGAGGTGCCTCTGACCATAAGGGAAACGGACTTTTAATGATACTGGGGGCTGTGCTCTTCTAAGGACCCGAAATACCCTCTGACCGGTTATGCGCTTAAGCAAATGTGTCAAATCTGCTAGGGTAGTCAATATGACAGGCACTTGTATAAGTTTTGTGTTTTTTTTGTATAATGAATGCCTTGAATAATGTTTACGCGTTTTCAGCATGGGACTTAGGAATCCTCCCTACCTGACTGTATGGAGATGTTAATGATGGTAACTACCATTTAGTTTAAGTATTACTTGCTATGGGTCCGATGGGTGTTTTAGATGCATGAATTTATTTTTTCTCACAACCCTCTGAAACAGGCATTAGCCTCAATGTACAGATGAGGACACTGAGGCCTACAGATTTTAAGAACCTTACCCAAGAACACCTGGCTCACTAGAGGTAGGACCAGGATGCAAATTCAAGGTCAATGACATGCCTGGGCTTAGAGCAAGCGATCCAAGTCACTCTTCAGTTTTAGCAGATTCTATTTAAGTTTTAAGCTAGCATTTCACTGGTTCAGAAATCCTTTCTGTATCATGCTAATAATTACCCCATTTCTTTCTACCATAAATTTCTGAGGAACAAGCTTGGCGAGTAAAGAAATACAGCTCAGTTACTATAAACAAACAATCTCTTAAGGCTACATTACGCAATGTAATTGACTGTAAGGCATCCAGTGAGCTCCGGAGGACAGTATGACCAGCAAAGATCACTGTGTCGAGGCGCAGCAAGAACGCTGCTTACCTAAGACTGCCATTTGGAAGTCAAACTTATAATAATAGAAATCACACTAATTACTATGAACGCTTTCTACACTTACTCTAATAGACATGACATTTTGATAACACGCTTATGACCACGTATAATGTTTGGCAGCCAAAACCCAAGTTCCTAGACTTCGGATTTTCTGAATTACACGTGGGGAAAACAGTACGCACCTCAGGAAATCGTGGTGAAGATCAGAAAGCTGCAAAGCAGCTCACTTAGAACAGGGCTCTCCCCATCCTCTGATTTGGTGAATAGTTTGCGGTCATCCTCCCAGGAGAATGCCCCCTGGCAGACAAGTTTGGACACTGCAACACCGACACAGAGTGATGCACCAAGAGACTAGTACCGTCCGGCTGGAAAATGACAGCTTGAGGCTGGTCATCATTCTGAAGGGCCCCCCCAACTAGGCTTACCTTGGAACAGATGCCTGTCTCTCCTATGGCTTCGTTCCCCATTATGAGACCCGTCCTGAGAGACATAGAAAAGGTAACCACGGCGTATGTTTCCTCAGACACGGTCTCCAAAGCAATGAAGACACTACGCCCTTTACTGTTTCAGACGGGGGCAGTGAGGGAGAAGGGGCAGCCAAAGGTAATAGGTGAGCAGGTTTTAATTTTGGCTAAATAAATTGTACTCTAAAATGTAAATGTTTAAATTATTCAATTATTTCAAATGAATCTAAGTTAATACTAAATTTAATAACCGAAGTTTGATACATGACCAGATAGTATAGTTTTCCCCTCCTTCCTGGAAATCATCAGGGCAACTATAAAAGGTATCATGCCCCAACGGTTAGATTCCTTTTAAGAGCATATTTATAAACTGTGTGGTTCTAGAACGGAATCAGGAAACTGAGCATTTACCTCCCATGGGCCCAAACTGAAACTCAGTGTAAAAACTAAAATTCAATTGCACCTTAGTGAAGTGACACTCTTTTGGGACTAGGAGTACAACAAAGACAATCTGTCAATGTCCACATTAGGGTTTCTTTTCTCAATTACATTATGTGACTTAAATTTTTAAATGTGTTTCTAGGTACACTTCAACTGAGTTTCACTATTTCCACACTGAGTCAACCTACTGTGCTGCTAAGGGTAGAGCTTCTTAGACCAAGCACTGTTAGTAGGCTTGGAATGGTAGTATCACTGCACGATGATTGTGGCGTTGTTACGTTAGAATTCCTGGGTCAACAGCGCATGCTTGTCCAGGGGCCTGAGCAGCGGGTGGACAGCAGCAGCCACAGGGGCAGGTGATCGGCAGGCTTGACTGAGGAGACGGCTACAGTTTCAGCCTAGCACCATGGGACCGGGTCCTCCACAGTCTCTAACTGCCACAAAGAGAAAAGAATTTCAGAGGATGCTGTCTAAGCAAAGTGAAATCCCTTCTCTTCTACTAGTCCTTAGCTCTCGTGTATTTTCCTCACATGCCTCACGCCACAAACAAAGACTAGAAAAGGCCACATCAACTATGCTGACACCTGCTGGAACGGGCAGTCACCAACATGAGCAGCCCCCAAAGCCAGAGAGCAGAAATCCCGGGGGGCCTGGCTGCAGCAAGGGCGCTGACCGGCTGCATTCCTCTTTTCTCTAATAAGGAGTATCAGGAGGAGTGTGGTAGGCAGCTGGAAAAAAACTAAATCTGGTTTGCTACTCCTTCCCTTGTGCTGAAATAAATGCCATATACTGAAACCATAAAAAAGAGCGCAAATTTTTTTTTTTTTCAATCTCAGCGTGGGTAAGACCTTTTGAAGTTACAAAAACCAAGAAGGCATAAAATACAAGACTGACCTGGCCATGAAAAACTTAATGTTTGCACATGGTAACTTACATAAAAACAAAAACAAACCTTAACATGATTGAAAATGACTAATTTCATTAGTATAGAAAGAATGTTTGCAAATCAGGAGGATAAAGACCAAAATGCACTAGAAAATGACTGAAGTTAAAGAGAATTCATGGAGGGGAGAACCACCCAATGGCCTTAAAATATATAGTAACATGCTAAACTTCATGTGAAAAAAAAACACAAAGTAAAAACCAGGGACATACATTTTCACCTAGCTTGTCAGAGATCAAAGAGTTGGTCAGGGTATAGGGAAATAAGAGCAGTTATACTGTTAATTGTATTAAAATTGTAAACTATTTGGAGGGCAATTCAGCATCTACTCCCTAAATGTATATACTCTTCGATCTAGCAATTCAACCTCTTCAGGAGTGCATTCAATAGATGTGCACACAAAGGATAGACATTAGAAGGGAACATTTCACGGCAGCAGCACGGTTCCCAGCAGCAAAAGACTGGGAACAGCCAAGCTGACCAGAGCTGAGCCTGCAATCACTGCGGTACTCCAGACAATAGACTGCTGCAGCTCTAAGAGGTGCGAAGCAAATCCAGCTCTACCTAAAAGGACAACCTGAGATTCACCATTTTACAGAAAAACCAAAGATGTAGAGCCATAAATGTACTTATGGAAAAAACAGGGCAGGGTGGGTGACGATACTCATCTACACCAGAGCAGCTCTCCTACTGGGGTCCCCGGACAAGCAGCAGAGCAGTATCTCCTGGGATCTTAGAGAAATAGAAACCATGGGGCGCCGCTCAGACCTCCTAACTTGGAGCCTCTGGGGAAAAGACTCCAGCAATCTGTGTTTTAATTTAGTAAGCCTTCCAGGTAATTCTGGTGCATGTTCAAGTCCGAGAACCACGGTGCAAGAGTATCTTTAAAGATACCCAGAAAACTGGTAACAGTTGTTACCTCTGGAGAGAAGAAATAGAAGATGAGGAACAGGACTGAAAAAAGGACTTTTCACTTTTGTATGTTTGCATTTTTTCCCATCATGTATATGTATCACCTATTTTAAATAAAAATTTAACAATCAAACCTGCCACTTTGATCCAAAATGGGTAAGAAATGAGCCCAGTGATTCAGGAAAACTGAATTAACAAGTTTTGGTTTACAGCACGACTCTTAAAAAAAAAGAAAAACAATCTATTTTAGCTCAAGATTTCAATGCGAAAAATAAAAAAGTGTATCTATAAATGACCATGTATGGTTTGGCATTGCAGAGCCTCAGTCTGGTGATAATAAACTCGTTATTTATTGAGCTGAGGTTTTAAAAGGGAAGAAAACCTTTTTAGCGGTTTTGCTGGACTAAGGCAAATTACCCTTATTGTAAGAATAACAATTTAAAAAAACAGAAAGGCAAAGACAAAGAGAAAAATTAACAATTTTTTTTTAAAAAAAGCACAAAAACCCTACACACTAAAATTGTACATATCAAGTATTGGTCCAATCTTATATCAATCTATTTACAATTAAACAGCACCACGGTTTTCTCCCCTAGGTTAAACATGCCCCAAAAATTGTTATTCAAAGTATATGTTCCTTTAAAATAAATTATTGAGCGCTCAAATACTCAACAAACAAAAAAGACCTTCTACCAACCATAGATTATTAATGATATCACCAAGTTTACTTAAGAAAAATAAGTTTAAAGCACTTTTCCCAGTTGACAAACTTTGAGAGATGTTGCTAGTCAATGTGGCACACAAATTAACAACGATTTTTTGATGATGGGCACTGTACTGAAAGACCTTCAGATACCTCCCACCTCCATATATAAAAATACTCCTTTGGAATTAATGCTGCTGTATCTGCCTGGATTTAGATTCGATTATCAGCAAACCTAAATTAAATGTAGCCACAATCTTTCAAATAATTGCATTACAAGGGGAAGTAGTTAAAGCTCTCAGAAACACGTTACAATTATAAATATTATTATATCTAACAGGCTATAGGAAGTTTAATACCATTTTAAACATTATCTTTAAACTAATTAGCAGTTTCATTTTGCCATTAAAATTAATAATGGTGCTTCATCACCACACGGGTGTGGAGGTTTGATACTTCCTAGCTGCGAACAATGTAAGTGCCACCTTCCTCTCTCTTCTATCTCGTGGATTGTCAGGGGTACAGTGATCGTGTGGCAGCCCCCTTCTCACTACGGGAACCAATCTTGAAAAAGCTCCAAATTAAATATAATCGTTGGCAGCTTTATTCCAGTCACATTACAAAAGAATCAGGTTATCTCACCTGATTGGTCAGTCCTCTATGATCATATTTGTGGATGGTTCTTAATTTGCCTCTTTGCTAGGGAAAATGAGAGAGGAAAACTGTCATCCATCATAACTAAGGTTAGTGAACTGGAAAGCGCTAACATACAAAGCAACATTTCACCATTTGGTCTCTCCGTTAATGTTTAAGTGACATCAGTAAATCTGTCACATTAGTCAATTTTGACTTGAAATTTTCTCCAACTGACTGAAAATAGGCACAATTCCCCCAGGCACAGGTGGGATGGGCTTCCTTACACCCTTCCTGCAAACTTGGGGGAGAAAGGAGACTGACTTTATTATGTTGCAGTGGGAAGAGCTGCACTTGATTCCTTGTATTCCCTGGTCCAGAATCCATGCATTTGGCGGCAGTTAGCTCTGAAAAGCCCCAAGCAGAGCAGGGAGAACAATCATGGTATTATATAGTAGTGACCTTCTAAACCTGGGTATGAAAACAACTTCGTTGTATAGAAATTTCAAAATACCTATGCAGCAAGAGAACAAGAGACTTTTCAACTGAGTGTCAGTTGAAAACCAGAGATCTGATTGCACTAAATTATTGCCTAGTGTTCCAGAAGGTGCCTGCCACCAATGTGCTGGAAGGCACCAAAATTTACTGGGAATGTAAATAAAGAGCTCAACATATGGGGATAGGGTAAGCACTACTGAAACACAATTTACCAGTCTCTAATCCTTTATGACTAAATCGTGTATGAGCAAAGAATTAAGACCAGAATAGAAGCAAACCTCAAATACTGCTCTTTCCAGTTTCCATTTTAAAAAGCTCAAGTCTAATAACTGTTACTGATGATTTCTGGAAATTATATTTGATTTATTTCTATAAAAATTCTGTATTCACAAGGTGCTTGGTGCTGTTCTTCACGGGTGCAATGTTCTACATACTGTCCCAGTCATTTAAATACAGCCGTGACACAGTTGCTGGGTGTTTCAAAATAGACGGTTATCTACCTCTTAACTGTCCCTCAAATTAGAAATTACAATTACATGAGTCTCAAAGGCTAGCTCTTTGTGTTTTATTAATTATTTTGTTGGTCTCCATCACAGATGGAATTTTTCACTGGTAATTCCTCAGAACTAAATCCATTATACGGAATTCAGAGCAGTGAAAATAAATTTCACGCCACAGAGTAGGAAACAGCAATAAAAAGGATCGGGAGGGACCTGGGGACCAGCCAACAGAACCAGCTCAGTTCTCAACTGGTGTTGGGTTTCGCAAAGGTTGGCTCATTATGACCTGTACAACATAGTCCTTTGGGATCTTCAGCTCTTCCAACCTCATTTTGTCAGTGAGAGGTCTGCCCGAAAAGAACCACCGCTGACTGCTCGGCTCCACTCCCTCCGCTGCGTGCAGCCGCCTCTTCATGTGGTACACCGTGTCTGTGCTGCGCACCACCAGTTTGAGGTCTTTGCCAGTGGAGAGGCGCAAACGAAGCTGACATTCGTATCCAGAATTGGGGGGTGGCTCAGGGATATCCAGAGTCTCTATGTCGCTCTTTTCCTCTATCATGTTGATGGGCGGTGCCAGGCAGTAGACTGGAAGCTGGTATCTGTTCCCCAGTTCATCATAGCACTCTGTGAGTGCCCCTTCAGGAAGAAGATATGAGTAAGAGTTTAATCTAAATGAATGCATTTTTGTTTACATCTTGCAAAATGCTCAAGCATCTCTTGCTAGCTTGCCAATGTAGGAAAAAAATATTAAAATAACGTCAGTCACTGTCAACTTACCATCCATGACAGTCATCAAGGTCCATGACCAATTAGTTGAATGTTTTTCTAATTTTATGTTAACCAGGACCCTCGCTCCTTACCCCATCTCTTCTATTTAATACCTAATGCACACTTTCATTAAAAGATAAAGAAAAAGCAAGCACACAAAATTCAAATTTCCTAATATCATTAATGTTTAGACCAAATTAAGGAAAAATTCAAATTGCATTGGGATATCTTTTTAAGAAAGATTAAGCTATCTTGAAAAAGAGAAAGAAAAAAAAGGATCTCTAAGCCCAATTCACCACAACAGTGTTTCAGCGGGATTTCCTTAGCACATAGACTTAAGCTAAAATGAAGGACTTGGCCAGAGGCCCTTACAGTCCAAGGGAATCACAAACTTGAGATGCCACTGGCTCACAGCTTATACACCTATAATGAGATTCATTAGCCCAACTACCACAGAAACCACTGGGGTGTTGTATTAGCCCCAATTAGTCAATGTTACAGAGAAGTCATGGGTTAAAAAGGAAGAACAAAAGGGGAATTAAGTTTACGACCAGCTGGATCAGTGGAAGGAAAAAAGCATTTATGTTTTAAAAGAAAGTATTATTGACTATTTTTTTTATAAATCATAAACTACATTATAATTACCAGGACTTCCCCAGGGAGCTTAAAAGCATACTTAACAAATGTTTTATTGTAAGGTTATTCCTAATGTGCCCTTTGCTCAAACTGGAACATTCATGTTAGCTGATTTTCAATTTGGATAAGAAGTAAAAACATCTACCATGCTCAGAACACTTACGCACAAGCTACTAAACATGGGGAGTGGGAGACTGAGCAACAGTTACCAATGACCAAATGGGTTAATGAGCTGATCTCTGGTTGCCATCAACAGGCTGAACACACAAAGCATCGGAAATGAGGGTGAAGTCACCAACCACCTGGGTCAATCAGGTCTGCCTTCCAAGCACGTCACAGGAGCAGGGGTGAGAGCTAAGTCACCAAGCATGACACACATGTGTAGCTCCCTGGCCTCTAATGATCCTGCCCGGCCTGTGCTGATCACTAAGCACTGTGAACACTGCTGTGACACTGTAAAAATGGACCTACCCCAAGCATAGCTGGGACTAGTTCCCCACACTAGGAACTCACAGCCATCACGCTACATGCAGTGCCAGGGCTCTTTATAAATAGAGGTACAGTCACTTATGCAAACTCCCCTGTTTATATACTTTATACAGCCTAGTCCTAAGGCAAAAAAACCTCTAGGTATTTTTCAGAGGGACTGGCTGTCAGGACAGTAAGAGAAAGCGGAGCGCTCACTGAAGACCGCCGCCGCTATTGGGTGAGCCCCTTCAGATGCGGAGTCCGCCGATACTGAGGGGTCAGTCATGTCAGCCCGATAAGCACAAGACTGTATTTACATAATTGTTCTGCTAGAGCAACATTCTCTTAGGCGCTATTCCAAATCATTACCTTTGGAATCAGGAAACCAAGATGAAGCTCCCAGCCTTGGTATTAACTAGCTGTACAGCCCTGAGCAACATTCTTGAACCTGAAATACCATTTTCAATGAGCGAAATGCGGCAGGACCAAACTGACCTCTCAAGCGGTTTCCACATGCGTCTCTATCTTCACGCACCGCAACAGTTAGAAAATAGCAGGACTGCAAACCAAAGCCGTCACACAGCCGACATTTTTAGACTCCCTAGAAACTAGGACAAGGAATGTCACGGCAGCCTTTCGAAGCGAGCTAACCTCAGCACAGCGTACCATTTATTGGTAACAAGCCCTTTGGCTCTTCCTAGATCTGAATGCTCACTCCTCCGCCTCCATGGAAAGCCACGCCTTTTCCTTTCTGCCCTTCAGCCCAGCAAGTGGGGTTCAGTTTTCAGATCTCAAAGGGTGAGAATAAAAACCCCATGGAAGAAGTACAAGTGGACGACACATCTCTGTGATGCTGGAAATAAGCTACCCAGACCCTGATTGCTCAGAACCTTCCCTATCTCAGTATTTTCAGTAAAGATAAGTTGTATTTTATTTAACACAAAGTGTTCTGATTTTCAAAATATAAACTGAAATGAAGATGCTCTAGTGTTTTAAAATAAAAACTAGAGGGGAGAATTCCAGGCCATTAAGTCAAATATGGCTTAATTACATTTTAAAGCTATGGTGTTATGGGTTATTCTCTCCCCAAAATTAAATATCCATGATCGCAAAGTATCAACAAAAATAATCTGTGCTTACCATACAGCCCGTAGCTGAATCACCCCAGAACTACCTGCTCACAGCAGAGTAACTGCCCCAAGACCCAGGCTGCTTTGAACAGCGCCCTCCCTGCCCCCCACCTCACGGCTCCCTCTCTGTACTGAAGACAGCGCCGCCCTGCCCTGCCAGTGCTGATCTTCCACTCGGCCTCTTTAGGCCTCACAAGGACCGCCAGGAAACAACTCTCAGGCACAGTCGCTGCAGGAACACTTACTGGACACCTAGGAGTGTGCAGGCCATGTCACTGGCACCGAGGAGGGAAGTTACAAGAAAACCAAGATTGTCCTCGACCTCCAAGAGCTTATAATGAAGGTGAGCAGATGCAACATACCCACCAAAGATTTAAGTACACATTGACACACTAACGATCAAATGTAGAAGCTGAGGTATCACACAATAGAAAAGTGACTAAAGTTGGTAGAGCCGAGGAGGAGAAATTCTGTAGAAGTAGTGTGTTCTGGGCACGATACAGAATACAAATAAAGGACAACCCAAGAAATAGGACTGATATGGAAATAAGAATTGTTACAAGGTAAGTAGGGAACAGGAAGTGGCTTTGTCGAAGTGGGACATAGAATCATTGATGTAAAATTACTAAATAGATAGCAAAGGTGAAAACCTGATAGAGGAGTCAGGAGTTTACAGACTCAATAGTATAAGAAATTACGAGAAGTGACTAATGTAGGTACACAAGTCATTCATCCAACAAATACCAACTGCCTATTACATGCCAGATACTGCGTTACGGTAAAGAACAAGACAAACCCTGAAGATTACTTGGGCATCTGTACGAGGGGAGAATGACTGACTAGGATCAGGGCAGCCTGCTAAAATAATTGTCTGACTAAAACAATGGAAAGAAACGGACTGGAGGGGAGGGGAAAGGGGGGGGGTGAAAAGGAGGCATCGATTGCTGTTCCACCGATTTCTGCGTTCACTGATTGCTTCCTTTCTGTGCCCTCACCGCAGACTGAACCTGCAACCGTGGTGCATCGGGCTGACTGGGATACCCAACTAGAGCTCTTTGCTTAGTTTTTTTAACTATGTCAGGTTCATTGGGGTATTTCAGTTGAATTATCTGTAGGTAATTGAAAAAGCACAGTATCAGGAAAAGGGTAAAAGCAGTTTGTAGAGGAATAATTTCAAATGTACAAGTTTAAACATAAAGCAAACTTCTAAGAGTGCTTACTACTGTATCTGTGTGAAATGAAGGGTGTTAATAATAAGGGTAAGAAAACTCACTGCGGTAATCGTTTCACAATATATGTAAGTCAAACCATTATGTTGTATACCTTAAACTACACAGTGATGTAAGTCAATTATATTTAATAAAACTGGAAACACAGTGCTTACTAGTTCCATCTCTCACTAAGCACTTTACATACATTAACATTAAATCCTCACAATAACCTTTAAGGTGACTCATTTTATTAATGGAAAAAGTGAAAGAAATGACTTGTCCGGGGTCACAGACAATAGGTCAAAGAGTGAAATAACCCAATTCCTGAAGAAGCGAGTGTGTAACGCAGGAACTGACTACAGGGCCTGGTTCCCGGTAGTCAGTTTGGTTTGCAGGCCAGTGAGATGGTGAACGGGAAGGGTAAAACGAGCTTGGGGGCGGGGAGGCAGAGAGCAAATACAAGAGGGATGGAAAACCAAACAGGAATGACAACTAAGAAACCAACAGTCCAAATGCAGCCCAGTAACATATTTGCCAGTGATGTTAACCATAGGTCAAAGAAGGAACTGAAGATAAGGCAAAAGAAAATGGTGATCACGAGAAGCTTCAGTGTTGTGAGGCCACCACACGTAGTGACAAAATGGACATATTACTTTCACTGTCTACAATATTTGTCAGGAACGTGTGAAAAACAGAGCATCGTTAAAAGACGGGAGAGCTTTGCTTTAAAGAAACCCTATGTTTAAACACAAAGGAAAGGAACCACTCTAAAAGTTGATAACGTAGAGATTTTTCTACCTTTCCAAAATCACTTTCATCTATGTTTGCATTTGCAATTTATAAAAGGTTTTAATCACCCACACTGGCCACTGAGGGCGCATTCACTTGGCAATTCTTCACCAGTTCTAAAGGAGTGCTGGTCAGGCTTGCGTACATCGCGCACCAAACGCCCTCTGCGGGAGGATGCACTTGCCCTTTTGCTCCTTCTCCTCACAAACCCACTGTAGACCTCAAGACCTGGCAGAGACAGATGGCTGGCCACCAGGAGAAATGACTGCCAAGGCCTCGCCTCCCCAGCTCAGGAAGCCCTGAAAGCTCCCCCTGGTAGAAGAAAGCTGCCAAAACTCCACCTTCTGTTCTCATTTCGTACACAATCTCCCGAAGTTGTTTTTATTTATTTTCTATCTATATGATTGGCTCAGATATGTTCTGTTTTCCTTGGGCAACTGTTTTTTATGTCTGTTTTTAATTAGGCTTAAAAATACTTCACCAAAGTAAAAAGATAAAACGAAATTACATGTCTAATAATAAGAATATATTTACCAAATGCCAGAAAGTGTAATACTTTATTCTTTCCGGTTAGAAAGAAAAATGTCTTTTTACGCATTCCAAGGCCTCACTCCTTTTCCCTCACTGCTCACTC